ACGTTTTATACCATTTGATTGCTATTTCGTTTTTTTCTTATAATTTTATTTGACATCGCCAAGATTAATTAAGATGACACTCATTTGTTATCATATTGCTCTTTCATGTTTGGATCCTCTGATTAGATTTGAATATACAATTTGCGTTTGTGTATAATTTTCTCACGTTGCTCAATTCTAATTTGTGATTAGTTGGTGGTCTTTAAATAAATTAATTATTTTTTGTGATTCGTTTGTAGATGTGGCTAGATCTAATTGTATCTATCTTTTATTCAATTTTATTTGATTATGCTTTTAACTTTTTCTTTGCATAATCCTTGTGTGATTTTAAGTAATTAGTTTATTTTGTTAATGATTATATAAAAATGTTATTGTCATGTGTTTTAGTTTACAACGATAGTCGTAAACTTTTATTGTAATTTAAATTTTTTAATAAAAATAATACTTTTCATTTTATCAAAAAGTAATTATATTTATAACAAAAAATAAATTATTTTTTCATATTTTAGTTAAGAATAAGAAAACCCTTAAGTTTAAATTAAGAGAAAATAACCCAGTGACCAAAAATGCCTTATAATATACGATTTTAACCAACTTTTTTTGGATTTGCCAAAATGACCAACTAAATCGCAATGCGATCGATAATTCGCAACGCGATCTCCGGTATCGCAAATCAGTTTCCAGATTCGCAACGCGAACTTCGACTATCGCATTGCGATTTACATATTCGCATTGCGATAGTCCAAGTTCGCGTTGCGATTTATTCCAAGTTCGTTGCGATAGTCGAAGTTCGCGTTGCGATTTATTCCAAGTTCGTTGCGATAGTCAAAGTTCGCGTTGCGATTTATTCCAAATTCGTTGCGATAGTCCAAGTTCGCATTGCGATTTATTCCAAGTTCGTTGCGATAGTCGAAGTTCGCATTGCGATTTATTCTAAATTCGTTGCGATAGTCCAAGTTCGCGTTGCGATTTATTCCAAGTTCGTTGCGATAGTCCAAAATCGCAACGACGGTATTGCATTTGTTTCTTAAGAATTTTCTCTAAAAAGATAGTATTCGCGCGGACGTGTCGAAGACAAGTATTACCACGACCACGACCACGACCACGACACGACCCGAGACGAGACGGGACGGCGGCGGCGGCGACGCACGAGAGTCCCCCTTGTTCTCTATCACTCAACAAGGAAGTGGGAAAGCCAAGCCTTAAATACCATTCTCAATAGTGTTTCCAATACTATGTGAGATTGAGCATTACCAACACTTGTTCCCAATACTATGTGGGATTGAGCCTTAAATAGTGATATTATTTTTGAATGTTTTGCTTAAAATTGCAATAATCGCGATTGATTGTAGATTGACTTTTAATTATGACATATTTAATCGTATAATACTAATGCAATTGTTTGTTGATTCAGTTGTTTTAAGGTGCATGATTGTGAATTGTTTCCTGAATAATCACATTGTATTGGAAACAAGTGTTGGTAATGCTCAATCCCACATAGTATTAGAAATACTATTGGGAATGGTATTTAAGGCTTGGCTTTCCCACTTCCTTGTTGAGTGATAGAGAACAAGGGGGACTCTCGCGCGCCGCCGCCGCCGTCCGTCTCGTCTCGGGTCGACACACGTCCGCGCGAATACTATCTTTTTAGAGAAAATTCTTAAGAAACAAATGCAATACCACCAGTCGTTTCGATTTTGGACTATCGCAATAAATTTGGAATAAATCGCAACGCGAACTTCGACTATCGCAATGCGAACTTGGACTATCGCAATGCAAATATGTAAATCGCAATGCGATAGTCGACTATCGCAATGCGAACTTCGACTATCGCAATGCGAACTTCGACTATCGCATTGCGAACTTTGACTATCGTATTGCGATTTACATATTCGCATTGCGATAGTCCAAGTTCGCATTGCGATAGTCGAAGTTCGCGTTGCGAATCTAGAAACTGATTTGCGATACCGGAGATTGCGTTGCGAATTATCGATCCCATTGCGATTTAGTTGGTCATTTTGGCAAATCCAAAAAAAGTTAGTTAAAATCTTATATTATAAGGCATTTTTAATTTATGAGATTATTTTCTCTTAAATTAAATTAGGCAAAAATCATTATGTCACCCCGGGAATAAATGTTTTAGGTAAAGGGTTTTGGACAAGTGATTGGGGCATTGATTTATTCCTTGAAGTTTCTCTTCTCGTCTCTTCCCCCTCTCGTATTTCCCAAAATAACCCTTCTTGACTTCCACTCTCCTTTGAATCAAAATTGTCGGTGGCTTAGACGCGTCAAACACTTTTTGATCGTCATTTCGATACAGCTGATACCCTATTTATGGCGCGTGATATTTGCATTCTTTATTTAGTATTTAACGAAATAAAAATTATGTGTATGATAGTTGAAAAATATTTTTTAAATTTTTTATTTTATTTTATTGTATATGATAGTTGATTTTTTTAAAAAATATTTTTTGATGTTTGATAGTTGTATTTTTTTTTATAAAAAAATATTTTTTAACGTTTGATAGTTATAATTAATTTTTTCAATGTAATTTATTTTCTCAGTTTATTTGTATTTTATTTAAAAAAAATTTACCATCTGATTTTTCGTAAAATATTTTCCTAATTTTTAACTTTAGAGTAGAAGTACTCAAAAAATATTAACCAAAAAATTTACTCTAGATTTTTAATCTATCCAACATACCAATATTCTAGATTTTTTTAGCAATAATATTAACCTATTTTAAAATTTACTCTTAAAATCGTTCCATAGCAAAAAGCCTATATTTATTGTAGTGATTATTTTTTCCTTTTTTTTTAAAAAAAAGAACAAAGAATTGTGGTAGTTATAAAGTGTTTTTTTTTTCAATTTAGATAGAAAATTATAATAGACGTAAAATTAATCGTTAATCAATGCTAATATATTATATTTTTGTAAGAAGATAAAAAAGATATGATCGAGGATGAAGTGATTTTATTCTTTCTATTTAGTTTTGTTCGAGAGATTTTATAATAATTTTTGAAACTGATGTATGACATAAGATTATTATGATTATCTGTATGTTGAGATATTATAGTTGATAATAAATTTGACTCGGTAGATCATGTGGACATTTTAAAAATTATATTAAATTATTAAAATTTCAAGATGTATTAACTATTTAAGATTCTTCTTCTGAATTCTTTTATTATTTTTTAAACTTTTTTGAAATTCTTTCTTTAGAAGTATTATTGTGAGATTATTTATAAAAAGATTTCTTCTTCGAAAGCTTACAGTAATACGGCTACGAAAGTGATACACAAAATACGTTTAACGGAAGTACAACAATCCTTGTATAAAAGTTTAAGAAAACGAAAAGTTAAATATTACAATTTTTTGTTGAGAAATAAATATTACAATTATTTATTAATTAATTAATTAATGTAGAGTAATTTGAATAAGATAAGATGATATAAAACACGCTCCGAAACGGCGCGTGAACGGATCTTGTCGAAACATAAAAGGAACCATCCAAGTGGAAGCTTCCAAATTCTAACCACGGTCATTTTTCATTTTACTAATTATGGTTGTAAAACGGGGATTAATTACTGTAGCGTACAGAGGAAAAAAAGTAAATAAAAATTGACTACGAATAAAAAAAAATATTTAAGATCAATCATGCAATTAACTCAACTTTTCTTATATAATAGTATTTAAATCTACTCTTGATTCAATTTGAATTAAGTTGTCACCAAACGAAGATATCTACAAATGACTCATAAAATTTTAAATCTCAAATATTGAATAGTTAAATATATTTAAATCAATAAATTTTAAAATATGACAATAATAATTTTATTTGATAATAAAATCTCAATCAATAAAGTTTAATATATTTATAAAAAAATTCAATTATTATTTTTCCGTTTCATTTGAAAATAATAGAAAGTAATAATTTGTAGCATTCAATCTTACATTTGTTTACAATTTTTTATTTCTAAATTTAATATAAACTCCATAAACTATTTCCTAAAATTATTTTTATCAAAAAGTTATAGTTATAATATAATATATAATCATAATTAAAATTAATTAATATAACGCAAAAAAAAAGAATCAAAAAATATTTTTATATGGAAATTATATAATTTAAATCATATTCTATCCGTAAATCGAGATATTAAATATTTATATATATTGAATTTTGTATGTTGTTATATAACATATAAAAATGATGTTAATCGAATTACATTCAACTGAAAAGAATACATCTAGACATATGTCAAAAATAAATTTTAACGATATATATAATAAAATGAATCAAACGATTTTAATTATTAAAATATTATTGTTGTACTTTGAAGTTTAGATTTCAGTCTGATGTCTTCAGATATCATGATATATTTTGCATAAATATTATTTTATATTTACTTTAAATTAATAAAAAGTTAATACATATAATATATTTTTTAAATTATATGCATTAAAATTTAAATAAAAATAATTCTAAAATAATAAACTACATGTAATGTTGATATACGATAAAAATCCTCAATACTCACCATATAATTTATGTTAAAAAAACATCTTTTATTTATAATAAAAGGTTTGTTGTTATTTATTAAGATTTTAAATTTAAATATTAAAAATATAAAAATTATGATCATTCAATGTTAAATGATTAAAAATTATAATATAGATTAATAATAATAATAATAATAAAAAGATAATTTAGTTTTAAATTGTATTTGTCTCAAATTCCCAGCACATAACTAACCTTTTATTTTATTTATATTAGAAAACTGTTGCCTTCCCAATTCCATTATTTGAATCGACTGTCACAGACAAACGTATGTGTTAAAAAAATGAAATCTCATTTTATAAAAAAACTTTTTTCAGAAAATCAAAATCGTATTATTTTTCTTTTTACGCTAACCTTTTTGCACTTGAACGAGTGAGAAGAAGTGTATTGTTGAACTCAGTGGCTCATTTCTCTGTCTTCAAATCCATCCAGACCCCTCTTTTTCCTTTTTTTAAATTTATAGTTTGTTTCTTCTTCGTTTGTTTTTGATAATGTTGTTCAATTTCTAGCCATTTTTCCGGTAACATTTTCAACTTTTGATCTCACCCAAGATCGAAACCCAACAGTCCAGTTTTTTTTAAGGTAAGGAAAAAAAAACCCCAACAATGGCGCCGTCGTTTGGGTGGTGGGCAAAAGGCAGCCACAAAGGAACTCCGGTGGTTGTCAAAATGGAAAACCCAAACTGGTCAATGGAGGAGCTCCAAGCTCCGTCCGAAGACGATTTCCTCGTCGGTAACACCCCGAAGGGTACTCGCGAAAAAGCGCGTGGCAAAAACGCCAAACAACTCACTTGGGTCCTCCTCTTAAAAGCCCACCGCGCCGCCGGTTGTTTAACCTCCATTGCTTCCACATTGGTCGCTGTCGGTTCCGCCGTCCGTCGTCGAGTCGCCTCCGGTCGAACCGACGCCGACGCCGACAACTGTTCCGCCAACGAAAATACAACTGTTAAAACCAGGTTCTATAGCTGCATCAAAGTGTTCCTTTGGTTATCGTTATTGTTACTGGGTTTCGAGATTGCCGCCTACTTTAAAGGCTGGCATTTCGGTGCGCCGAAGCTACAATTGCAGTACGTCTTTACGGCGCCGCTCGGCGTTAGGGATTTCTTCGATTCCTTGTACTCCCGTTGGGTTTTGATTCGGGTCGAGTATTTGGCACCTCCTCTTCAGTTTCTCGCAAATGTCTGCATTATTCTCTTCATTATCCAAAGCTTGGATAGATTAATCCTCTGTTTGGGTTGTTTTTGGATCCGCTTCAAGAAAATCAAGCCAATTCCCAAACAAGTTGCTGTTGCAGATCTTGAATCTGGGGATGATGGGTTCTTCCCCATGGTTCTTGTTCAGATCCCTATGTGTAATGAAAAAGAGGTAAAAACAAACATAGAAAGCGCATTGTTTGATCGTTTTAAAAGAAACCCATTAATTTTAAATCTTTGATTTGCAGGTTTACCAGCAGTCGATAGCTGCAGTGTGTAACTTGGACTGGCCGAAGTCGAAAATTTTGATTCAAGTTTTGGATGATTCCGATGATCCAACAACTCAGTTGCTTATCAAAGAAGAGGTTCATAAATGGCAACAACAAGGTGTTCACATTGTGTACCGGCATCGTGTGATTAGAGATGGTTACAAAGCTGGTAATCTTAAGTCTGCAATGAGTTGTAGTTATGTTAAAGACTATGAATTTGTTGCCATTTTCGATGCCGATTTCCAGCCGAATCCTGATTTTCTTAAGCGAACTATACCCCATTTTAAGGTAACTAAACCAAGTATTTCTGTGTTTGATTTTGATTGCAATTCTGTGAATTTCAAGCTCGATTTAGTATGTGTTTGGATTTGTTTAATTCAATATTTATTTTGGTTATATTTGCTTTATAGGATAATGAGGATGTAGGATTGGTTCAGGCAAGGTGGTCTTTTGTTAACAAGGATGAAAATTTGCTAACAAGATTGCAAAACATAAATTTGTCGTTTCACTTCGAGGTTGAGCAACAAGTGAATGGTGTTTTCACTAATTTCTTCGGGTTCAACGGGACAGCTGGGGTTTGGAGGATTAAGGCTTTGGAGGATTCCGGTGGGTGGTTAGAGAGAACCACGGTTGAGGACATGGATATCGCAGTTCGTGCCCATCTTTGTGGATGGAAGTTCATTTTCCTCAATGATGTCGAGGTAATTGCTATAGTTTCATCAGTCCTATTGATAGTTGAATTTTGCAGCTATTCAACGTTCTTGGAGGTTAGTGCTTGTTATTCTTTTTTTCTGTTCAGTGTCAGTGTGAACTTCCCGAATCTTACGAAGCTTATAGAAAACAACAGCATCGATGGCATTCGGGACCAATGCAATTGTTCCGCCTCTGTTTGTCGGATATTATCCATGCTAAGGTGATTACTTTTTCAAGCTACATTTTGCTTAAAGTGGCAATGATTTATTCTAATTTGTTAAACTCGATAATTCTCTTGTGATTCCATTTCCCAACATTGTTCTTGTTCTGTATTCCAATTGGTGCAGATTAGTGTGTGGAAGAAATTCAATATGATCTTTCTGTTCTTTCTGCTCCGAAAACTGATCCTACCATTTTATTCATTCACACTTTTCTGCATAATTCTCCCGATGACGATGTTCGTTCCTGAGGCTGAGCTTCCGGCATGGATTGTCTGTTACATCCCCGCTGCAATGTCATTCCTCAACATCCTTCCAGCCCCAAAATCCTTCCCGTTCATTGTTCCATACCTTCTTTTCGAGAACACAATGTCGGTGACAAAGTTCAATGCAATGATCTCCGGTCTATTCCAACTTGGCAGTGCATATGAGTGGGTCGTTACCAAAAAATCCGGTCGGTCATCCGAGGGTGATCTTTTGTCCTTGGTCGAGAAACAACCGAAACATCAGCGTGGGGTATCAGAACCCAATCTTGATGAATTGAAAACCGAACTTGAGCAAGAACAGAAGGCTAAGAAAAAGACGCATAATAGGATATATAGGAAGGAGCTAGCACTTGCATTCCTCCTTCTAACAGCTTCAGCTAGGAGCCTCCTTTCTGCACAGGGTATCCATTTCTATTTCTTACTATTTCAAGGGATATCTTTTCTTCTGGTCGGTCTGGACTTGATCGGCGAGCAGGTCCTTTAAAAGTACAGATTAGGAAGTTTGCAGGAAAACACAGCCGCCATTGAGGAAAATCGAAGCTGAGTAAATCATTGCCTGTAAATGAAGTTTTATGGGAGCTGAGGGTTCTTTTCACCGTCGTCTACACTTGGATGATAGTTCCTTCAATGTCTACTGAATACGAGAAGAAGAATAGCCTGGATTTGGACATCATAGGCACACTTGAAAATCATGATACTCATCAGTATATATAATGCTTTTCCCATTTCTTTTTCCTTTGTTTTTTTTTATCAATTCTTTTTTAAGAAAAACAAATTGTTGATGAAATACCAAGCAGGGATTTTAGTAACGATCTGATCTGATTTAAGGCGATGTTGTAGATGCTTTGTTGATCATGTTGCATTTGCTCCTACTTTAGTAATGTAAATGTCATTGTGATTCTATTTTTTTTCCTACCGTTTCAAATTTAATATTTAAAACATGTTGATATAATTATAAAAGCATGACATTAAACAGAAGAATAATACTAATCATAATACAATTAATACGAACTATTAATTTAGATATGATCAAATATAATGTAGTTTGGGTGTCTGAGATTAAAAGTTGAAAACATGGTAGGAAATGCCTGTCCAAATCCGGAAAGTTGAAAATATGGTAGACGCTGAAAATTGTTCAATATAGGCACAATCACATGTCTCCATCCCAGCATAGCAATGGATGCTGGTGCCATAACTTTCTATGGAGTAACATAACCGATTACGAGAAAATATGGTAACGTACTCTCCAGGAAAAAAGGGTCAAGCAACCGACACTTACCATACATCAGATCGTTGTTGAGGTGTCACACCCCGATTTTTATTGGACTTGATTTGAATTTAATTTTAATTAATTTTGAAGACTATTTTGCAATTTATTAGAAATCTAAGGCCCAGTTTCAAAAAACCCAAAAGTACAAAGACCCAACTTGGGTTTTGCTCTTTCTCTATTTGCAGGAAAAAAAGGAAAAGAAAAAAGGGAGTGGTTAACACAATTTGAACTCGTGACTAACATATATAGGAAGCCTTGCACTAGCCACTAGGTTAGGTCACTATTTATGTTAATATAGGATAATTTTTTTTAAAGATATCAGTTTGGATTTTATAAATCCTCATTTTCCCTACCCCAATCAGAATTCAAAATTCCTAAACCTTTTATCCCCATCGACATCGCCAATTCCTCCCTCGAACCATCGTCCTCCACCCTTCGTGTCATGCACCGCTAATACAATCTTGATTGGCATTCACTCGCAACCAAAACTCCCCAAACCTTTTGTCAAGATCCATCGTGCTCGTAAATCGTCGTTTGAAGTCCGTCGAGAACCATAACTTCCACCTCTGTTTACTTTCGATTTTCGACGATTTTGTCGCCGATTTGCCTCACCGTCGGTACTAAAAAAGTGTCATCGTCATCTGACCAAACCCCAATTGACCCCATTTCATATAACATTCGATCGTCGTGAAAACCCGATCGAAATTTCGTGAAACCCAAATTGTCAGCAATTGTTTACGTCGATTTTGACCACATTAAGCTTTCATTCGCCTCACCGTCTTCATATTCGGAATCCTTGCAAAGTTTCGGTTTAAACCCATTCAGCTCCGATACCTCATCGTGGTTTCTCCATCGTTCGCCTTCGGGGTAAGTTTTAAATTTATTTTCGTTCGGTTTCATCAATTTTTGGTTGATTTTTGCGTTGATCTGGACTCGTCACCGCCGCGCTTGGACATCGTTCCCTTTGAACATTATGGAAACTAAGTCAACTCAGATCGAGTTGACCGAATTAACTTAGATCGAGTCATTCGAATCAACTCAGACCGAATTGATTCGACTCGTTAACCCTGACTGAACCGTTGACTTTGACCTGACCATTGACCAGACCCGTTGACTTTGACCTCGTAACCGTTGACTTTGACCAAAAAGTTAACTTTTTTTTTGAAAAAAAAATCCTATTTTATGTTTTTTGATGTCCCGAGTCTGAATACAAAGTCTGTTTCCTGAAATTCTAACCTGTAAGCCTCTGAATTGACCTTTGAACTTGAGCTTGCATAGTTATTTTAAAGAAATTGGTTAAGGAAATAAAAAAGAAGGACGATGACTGATTTATGACTTTGGTTATGATAGGTACTCGTGATTCTCTCGATTGTACGACTGCTTGACCTATTTTTTCTCGACCCGTCTACTCGCGTGAGCTGTGATTACTCGATCTTGTACTACATTTGTTCTTAGCGAGATCGGTGTTCAGTAAATCCCTCAGATTGACCCGTTTTGCGAGGTATGTTCCTTGTGTACTATATTTATCTGTTTTAACTTATTTTGAAAGCATGATTTTGATGATTTTTCTTGAGTCCTAATTTTATTGATCTGAAATTTCTGATTTGTTTGATATCTGTTTTATAGATTACTGTTACTGTAAAATATATGATTTATGATTTTTTTATATTACTAGTATTGTATGAAAACTTCTTTATTAGGGTACTATCCGAGTAAGTGTCTGGAGACTCTAAGGTTCAGCTAGCTGGTAATTCCTTTATGTTTTGATCTTCCATATTGGACTCCTAGATCCTAGGGGTCTAGGGTAAGTCCTTATGGATACATGTGCTGGGGTTTTTATACGGTGTACGGGTGGTGGGTAGATATATGTTTTAAATAAAAGAGAAAATAACCTCAGTGACCAAAAATCCCCTATAATATACGATTTTAACCAACTTTTTCCGGATTTGCCAAAATGACCAACAAAATCGCAATGCGATCGCTAATTCGCAACGCGATCTCCATTATCGCAAATCAGTTTCCAGATTCGCAACGCGATTATTACTATCGCAATGCGATTTTCCCAATTCGCATTGCGATTTTCCCAATTCGCAATGTGAATAAGTAAATCGCAATGCGAATTTGGAAAATCGCAATGCGATACTGACTATCGCAATGCGATAATACAAAATCGCAATGCGATTTATGTATTCGCGTTGCGATTTTCATAATTCGCAATGCGAATATGTAAATCGCAACGCGATTAAGTAAATCGCAATGCGAATTAGGAAAATCGCAATGCAAATACGTAAATCGCAATGCGAATCTGACTATCGCAATGCGATTTACATAGCGCCATTCGTATTAACGCGTATTTTTTTTTCAAATTCCAAACACGAATTTTTTCTTAATATATCGGAAACTGAACCGTCCATAGTAATCGCAACTCATAACCTCAAACCTAAAATCACAACACTCAGTCCCATCTCCATCTCTCACTCTCTACGGCAAAATCCGTCCCCATCTCCGAAGATTTCCGTCCCCATCACCGGCGAAATCCCTCACAACCATTCACGGTCAGAAATCCCTCACAATCATTCAGAAATGGAAAATCAACCTCCGAGGGTTAGTTTTTTTAATTATTTTTATTTTGAAAATTTTGCATTATTTTATGTTTTTCATATTGAAATTGATAATAAGTTTACTGGTAATTTCAATAATAGATTAACCATTTCACTTAGATTTCTTATTAAATTCATTCGATTGCTGCCAATACTGCTAAACTGTTTAGTATTTAACCTTGTGAAGTTAGTATTTGTATTTGTTTTGTCTTTTGGTTGAAGTAATGCAGAAGAAGAATAGTTTCGAGAATGAAAATCGCAACGCGGAAATGACTATCGCAACGAGATAATCGCAACGCGGAAATGAAAATCGCAATGAGAGAATCGCAACGCGAAATGAAAATCGCAACGCGAAACCAAAATCGCATTGCGATTTTCATTTCGCGTTGCGATTCTCTCGTTGCGATTTTCATTTCGCGTTGCGATTCTCTCATTGCGATTTTCATTTCCGCGTTGCGATTTTCATTCTCTCGTTGCGATTTTCAGTTCAACCAAAAGACAAAACAGTGTTGCAAATTTTAGTTTCAAGAATAAACTACTATTTATGTTTATTGTTTTTGGTATATCTTCACAGTGTAGTTTTTGGTATATCTAACTTGGTATGTTTATTGTTTTTGTAGAAATTTTTTTCGGCTTCATTGACATTAAGGAATAAAGTTAGCCTAGCCACTACAATTGCTTCGAAGCTTTCACCTACACAAAGAAAATTGTTTGAGGAAACCTGCTTCGGGCCATGGCTGAGAGTACAACATCCTGGTGGAGATGCTAATTTGACCCATTTGTGGCTTCAGACCTTGACTAGCGATCTACCCGACAGTATACAACGTGGTGAGGAAGAGATATGGTTTCATTTTCCACCGGCGTATACTTGTTTTGGGCGGAAGGATTTCTGCTTAATCACTGGTCTACGATTCAGACACGATGATGTAGGCTGGTACACTCGTCATATCACCCGCCCATCATGGTTATCCAGGGTTTTTCCTGATGAGTCAATAGAGAAGCCGAACTTACACGTCGACGATATGAAGAAATTGTTTAATAAAAAAGATGGTTTTACTCGGATGAATGACGTCGATGTTGTCCGAGTATGCCTTATACTACTTTTGTATGCCGGCTTTTTAGGCAGAGAGGCCAGACAACCTATTCCTCAGGAGCTAATATTATTGGTAGAGGACCTAAATGCATGGAATCTGTTTCCGTGGGGTTCGTATATATGGAAAGCTACCTGGACTAAGTTGTCGTCTGCCTTTGATGACTGCAAAAGTTTACGGGGCGATGGGTCGAAATACACTTTGTCAGGCTTTGTTTGGGCCTTTAAGGTAAGAATTTCTATATAATATTTTCAAAATTATAATTAATTATTTAACAATTACTAATGTTTGTTATTATATTGTTTGTAGATTTGGATATTCGAGGCTTTCCCCAGTATGCGGACATATGCATTAAAAACCTCAAATGATATTCCTAGGGCTATTTCCTGGAAGAGGAAACATCTGTTGGATTGGGAAGACTTAATACCATATGCGACAATAAATAATGTAAGTTAACACAAATACTATCATATATAAACAAGTTATTAATAGTAGACATTTAACTTTGTTTGAGTTTTTATATTTTTAGGAGGCCAACACTCCATTAATGAGACTGACACCCACGGAGGCTGAGCTTGCCACTGATTGGTGGCAAGCTAGTCAGCGTTTTTTTGATGGCACGAACGATGAACAGCCTCCATTTCCTCCACTTCGAGAGCCATCACCTCACCCAGAGCCATCACCTGATCGACCCAACTATACACCTCTACAACGAGAGCCATCGCCTATCCCGTCACATCATCGAGCCTCATCTCCACCATCACCTCATGATAGGCGACCGACAAAGATGCCACGACTTCTATCTCCCTGTTC